TATAACACCTCGCATCTTTCATAATCAACTACACGTACCGCCGTCTAGTTTATAACATCTTGCATCTTTTGGACGGACGGACGGACGGACGGACGGACGGATGGATATGGCTGTACCCTTTAGATCGGGCGGTGGCTAGCGTAATACTTAATGCCGTCAGCTACAAGTACCGCCATCTAGTGAACACTGCAAGAACTGAACGAGAGGTGGCTACATACAGGGGACGCACAGCCCACGCCTTAAGGAGCTTCGCTCCTAATAGGAAGAACCACGAAGTCACGATGCTAAGCTTAAAGGCTAACACCTTTATCTGTAAGATGCAGCTCCACATTTGCAAACGTTGTGGTCACTGCACTTCTGAGCACGGGCAAATTTTAACAATCATATAGTTGCTGACAAAGGTGAACAAAAACTACATAAAGACTCTATCTCCCCTTTCCGCTCTCTTATATCAGAAAAAATATATAAGGAACTCGACAGTAAAAAAAGTACATCGGCGAGTTCAGTCGCAATGCGGATCACTGAAATTTTCATGATACGGTCTAATGCGATGCTACATTAACCACGAACAAACACTCGATCGTTCCATTCTAGTCCGCTTTATGGGGCATAAAGTAGACAGGGTGACCGCCTCCGTATATAGCTCAGCGGTATACGCATCGGGCGATGGTTGTTCGAAGGTCGCAAGTTCGGATCTTGCCCACAGCGAGGTATACCTTTGCGTATACACTTTTCTTTCTTCACATTTGCATTACACTTGCTTCTAATAACATACCCTGTACTTTCTTTGGCCTGATTGTCGGTTAGTTTTCATTAATATTATGCACTCGAATGCAGCGCAAATATTTTTCTCGGATTTTTTTTTTCTACTGTAAGTCTCGACCCTCGCGTTGCATTCGTGGTCGCATTACAGTCGAGTAAATACGGTAGCCCATCCTGCAGTTATCACGCGCTATTCGCAATTTTGTCGTTCCCATTATGGGTCACTTGAGCTAATCTTTTGTTCAGAGTCATACGTGCCGTTTACCGCCATTCCCGACGCGGAGCAGCTCTCGATTAAAGTTTTTCATTTTCTATTATTGACCCGTGTAAACGCTGCAGCGATTGTCGAACATAATTCGACGGAACTCGTTCGCCAAATGATGCCATTTTGCCTCGCATTCTCCTGGTGTAGCGGGTATACGGTGCTTGGCGGCTGACCCAAAGGTCGTGGGGTCGATCCCGGTGGTGGCGGCCGCATATCGATGTACGCGAAGTGCTAGAAGGCCGTGTCTTGTGCTATGTCCTAATCTCACTAAATAGTCCACGTTTTAGAAGCCTTCCATGGCTGGTATTAGAAGTCTCATATTATTATTATTATTATTATTATTATTATTATTATTATTATTATTATTATTATTATTATTATTATTATTATTATTTCATCCTCCTCTTCTTTGTTTTCTGTTCACTTCCAACATCACCGAAGCTGTATGTTGCGCAAACGTGACGGTATGCCTAGTCCGTCCCGTTTTTTCGCGCGAACGCCCTCGCTATCTCGCACAGCGGACCGCGCCTCTTCTGGGAAAAGAATGGACGACGGAGACCCGGCTATACCTTCATACACGACAGCCGAGCCGAGCTCTTTCGCGAGCCGCGGTATTTTCCCATTCATGCCGCGCGCGCTCGGCAATTTCTCGCACCGTCGACTCCGTAACGTGGGCCGCGCCATTGGTTCTTTTGAGTTGGTCGTATAATCGCGCAGCGATAACTCGCAGTTCTCGCACTGTCTGTAGCCTGCGCCGCGAGTATTGTCGAGGCGGAGGGTCACCCGAACACTATGCACCGAGGCAGCCTGGTCGATCGGCGTTTCAGTGCTTCTCGAACGGTTGTCATTTTTTGTCATCGACTTTCTCGCGTTTTATTTATTTATGTTGCGTCTCCTTCTATGCGGGTTCTCAATGTATTAATATTTCTATTTATTTTTTCGCCCCGTCGGCTCCCCGAGGTATTATTTGAAGAAATAAAAAAAAAACTAATTCAGAACCTTTACATCAACTCAGGGCTGCCGAGAGGGCTGAAGGCGCGGCGATCAGACTCGGCCTACACATTCCGACGTGGGAGCAACCCGCTGCTCTACCTCCTCGAGGTAGTGTTCCTCAGGACCTCGATAAAGTTCTATGTCTTTCTGTCTAGGGACATTGCCCCGCCGCGGTGGTCTGTCTAGTGGCTAAGGTACTCGGCTGCTGACCCGCAAGTCGCGGGTTCTTATCCCGGCTGCGGCGGCTGCATTTCCGATGGAGGCGGAAATGCTGTACGCCCGTGTGCTCAGATTTGGGTGCACGTTAAAGAACCCCAGGTGGTCAACATTTCCGGAGCACTTCACTACGGCGTCTCTCATAATCATATGCTGGTTTTGGGACCTTAAACCCCACATATCAATCAATCTAGGGATATCGGAAAAACACAACGTGGCGATTGACTCGGTCCTGCCCCTCATCTTCACGTTCAGGTGGTACTCGGCATGGGGATTCAGTAGTTACGGCTGCACAGATATACTGTGCGGTCACGAATACAGTGATTCTGATACGAAATACACGTGTTCGACGTCAGACTGAGTATCAGTTCATAAGGTTAGGCTGAGGAATTGAGAAATATGCGACATTCACAATTGAAAAAAAAAACAACAAAAAAACGAGGCACACCGTAGGGAAGGGCTCCAGAAATTTCCGCCACCTGATGTTCTAGCTGTCACCTGCACTAAGGTTACACAGTATACACGGGTCCTTGGGCATTTCGTTTCGCGAAATGCTATACCACTACGACTGAGATCGTACCCGTGACTTTCGGGCCTGTAGCCGAGTGCCGTAACAATTGAGCCACCGAGACGAACTCCTCTTCGAATAATAATCATGTGACGTTAACAGCAAGCGAAATGACAGTCTCGAAAAATAATTTAACCGTCCAAATCAATTTAGTATTTACTTTTGTGATCATTTCAAAAATGCCTCTAAATACGCCATTCGTAACTAGTACAGTGCTTGACGAGTTCGATATTTATTTACACCAAACAAGTTAGATGTCATTAACGAAAAAAAAGTTCGCGTAGCTTCACTAAAGGCGCTTTATACAAAGAGACAACGGTGCCTAGACTGAAAGAAGTGTGGTGCTTGGTGGCCTTTTTTGTTTCTATTTAGCTTTCTCTCGTCCCATCTATCTTAATTACTCTCGTTCTCCTTTCTGTTTTAAAGACGATAGCTTTATAAAATACTTGAAGGCAGAAATTGTAGCCTTTTTGTGTGTCACACACAACGATTCAGCCACTCGGCCAAGTTTTAAGCACTTCCTGAACGCCCAGCCATCTCGAACTGGTGAATGCGCTCATACTTGTGAGCATTGTCGATCAAAACACAAATATTGAGCGCATGTGCGGCGCAACATCACTGCAAAAGTATTAGGTTGCGCGATTTTTACTAAAAAATACATATATACGTAATTCTAAAGACCTAAGTGCTTCTTAGGCTGTGCTTAAAATACAATGCTATGCATTAAAAGAAGGCCGGCGGAACATTATCGTCTTTCGATGACATCTGCAGCGAAACACGCAGGTACGCGATCAATTCTTTTCCTTTTTCTTTTGTTTTATTTCTATATATCTCGATTTTTCCCATTTCTTTCTTTTTGTTTCCCTTTTTTAACTCCCTTTTGATTCTTTTTCATTCTGTATCCCTTTCTTTAGATTTTGTCTTTCTCATTCCTTAAATGCTATGCTTTACTCTCTCCTATGCTCCTTACCTCAATTCTGCCCCCACCTAATTTTCAATTCTCTACCCCCTTTCTATACTTTACTATACACTGCTATGCTATGTGATATTAGCAGTCTGCAGACAGGAACACTCATAGACATAAATGGTAAGTCTCCGCGATCAACGCAAAACATTTTCCAGGCACAAATAATTGAAGTACGCGGGATATATGAACGTATAATGACACTCCATTCTGATTACCTGTGTTTAATTTATGCAAAAAGAAATTGTGTGTAGAGAAAACATAGTTTTTACAGTTTAGAGAACGCTGTCAAGTTATCAATGTACAATCTTCAAGTCTAAATAAAAACTTCACCATAAAATTACAGTTTGTGCGCAGTTTGGCAGGTCATATTATTACCCATATTTTCATACGTTAACGTTGTGTGTCACGTGTTTGCGCTGTCACATTTATTTTCTTAATGATACTTCATAGACAACTTCAATTTGCAAAAATTACGCATTGGCTAATCAGTAATCTCATAATACTTTGCTCTGCCAGAAATAGTTCGTTATCTCGTCCGGCCACTATGTTAATGCCAAATGCAATGATGATGTTTGGTGTTTTGTGCATGGTGCTAAGGCCATTTGATGGCCAAAGAGCGCCAGTTCATGGGACAAGAGATGTGGGCAATGATTGTGATTAGCGGCTGTATAAGGGCCTTAAAATTCCACGCGCTGAGGCGGATAAAACATACAAGTAATAAAACCATGACCATGCGGTGAAAAGTGCGTGGTGTTAATGGATGACGAAAGCATGTGATAATAGAAACCATGGTGGACATGTATGATATTAGCAGAAGTACCTCACTCGTTCATACCCTTCCGTCTAAGGGCCGTGAGGCAAGTGCTTTCTTGTGTAGCCACCGCAGCAAAAACCTCTCTGGAGAGGTCGTGCTACGGAATGCCCGGGTATATGATATAGAAAGTACGAACTTCTCTCAAAAAAGCTAACAACGATTTACGTGTGAAAAGTGGTTCCCTAATGCCAAGTGCAAGCCTCTCAGATGCTCGGTTAGTTTAAAACAAAATTCAATTAAGATTGCATATTCTCCTAAAGAATAAGTACCTTGTGAAAAGATACTTAATATACAAGAATTGTATGATTACTAAATTATTTTCTGTTTATTTAGGGTGCAAAAACTCTTCAGCGCCACTGGAAATTGATGGGGGGTTTGAATGCTTGCGGCAGTTTGTTCAAGGTTGTTTACGGTAACTGTCTTTATCACGGGGAGCGTGGTTGTGCCGATGATCGTTAAGTGAGGCCGATCTTGCTGACACCGTGTAACAACACACGCGCGCCGCGCTAGTCATTGGCGTTGGTGCAATTTTTGAACCCCGTGGAGGGGTGGTAATGCGAAAATAAGAGGACAATTGCTTGAGGTACACGGAGGTTCATTTGAAGCAGGTAATCAATGTTAAATTGCAATGGCAGATTCAAGATTCAAGATTGTTTATTGTCTCTTTTTCGCGAGAGCTAGACCAGATTGCGAATGGAGCGCGCAGATCCGAGCGGGATCGCTCTCGCTAAATCGGCGATTGGAACGCGCGCATTTCTACGGGAGCTCTTGATGAACGGAAATCTAGCGAGGGAGCACGAGAGGGTGCGAGGGAGTGCAAAGCGTTTTCCAGATATCCATCGATGATTGGATGAAAGGCTAGCGTACAGAACACGTCACTTGAACTTCCGGTCGAATCCGCCGATTTCGGTGGAGCAAGAAGTCTTGCTCCACGGAGCAATCCGTGATCTGAAGTGGCTCTCAATCTACCATTGCGACACACCATTCGCGCTCCAAATCCGCCATGGGAATGTGATTGCTCCGCTCAGAGCAGAAAAAAACCTGATTTGGATCTGCCATTGGAATTCAACATAAAACGTGACTACGACCTGTTCTGACATGTTGTGTGTGTAGACCCGTTCACTGTTTACAAACACAGGCCCTTGGCCCCTTGCTGACATCTGGTTTCGTCCCACGAATGTGTCTTAATAGCACCGGCTGACAACAAGAGCTTTAGAAGATAGCCCACTGATTTTACAGTTTCCTTCCCTTATTTGGGAAAATATATTCAAATAACTGTTCATTTGAGCTACATAAAAATGATAAAATATTCCCTTGTACTTTACTCACGGTCCTTTTGTGTTAGAAACGAAAGAGACACTTTCTTTACCTTTGAAAAGAACTTGAGAACGTGCTGTCAGTTGTGACGTTAGGAGCTGGTAAATTAGATGACCAAAGTTTTTTTTTTTTTTTTGGTACAACGCTTGCAACTTTTAAACCATCTATACGACTCCATATTCGGCGCAGGTATAGTAACACGTGATTACAAATGCTTGACTGCGTTTTCCGCGGCATCATTCTGTGGTTATACACTGTGACCTATAAGCCTACAGTAGCGCTAAATAAACGGGTATACCATAGAAAATAGGCGGTCAATTTTTTTTAAATGAAACGATATCAAAACGACAAAAATGTCCCGCCTAGATACGCGAGATTTTCGAAGCGATTATTGACGCGGACCTAAACAAAAAAAAAACACATTTTGGTTATCAGTTTTGTTTTTCTAATGATACCATTTCCTTCCCGACCAGATGAGTTTTAGTCGTATTCGCCATATCACATGATACGGTGACCACAAACCAGGCAAATGTGTAATCTGGACGTGTTAGATATGCACTTCTTACCAGATAGAAACAGACATATATATATATATATATATATATATATATATATATATATATATATATATATATATATATATATATATATATATATATATATATATATATATATACTCAGCGCAGAGTAAGTCATTGAAAGACCTGGGGTGCGGCTTCACTGGCGACCACAGCGGATAACGCGATCGCTCACCAGAGCATGATTGGAGTGCAGTACTTGGTCACTACCTCCCACATGAACACAGCTCCGCCAAGCACAAAGCTCACCATAGCCCTCTAGCACAGCAGCTGCAAAGCTGCCTCTGAGCACAACGCGTCGTGAAACCGCGGTATACAGTCGCCGGGAGGCTTCCCGACGCGCTGAGCTCGGAGGCAGCTTTGTAGCTGCTATGACAGTTGTCACGTGGTCAAAGGAGGCGGCGGCGAGCTTCGGGCTAGGCGGAACCTGCGCTCCGCGACGGCGCTACCAGCGCCTCGGTATGTGGACGGCGCCTACCGCTGTTTACGAAAATAGAATAGTTATGTACATCGGACAAATCGGCGCGCGTGCTTGGGAACGAAGCAGAAGATGAAGAAGAGAATGAACAGGATGAAGACAGCGCGTATCGTTTCGTGATGATGGTGCTTTTATGCTTCCGACAGACAAATCGCGATGAGCTTAAACCGTTTTGCTGCTAAAACTAATTGGTGGCTGCTCCGTTGGGTGTCCCTAACACATGTTACTAATGACCACATACACTACATATATACACTAATCACAATATGGACAATATACGTGATGATATATGTACAGAATTTACAAGACTGTGAAGAGAAATTTATTGTCACGAACAGTGAACATCAATTACAATCCAACGGAACATGGTGATAGAACACTACATTCACTGACACACGAAAAATTTTTACAAAATGATACGTTTACATATGTACCGGAACACAGCATACACAGATACACAAGACTTGTTACAAAAGCATATGTTTACATATGTACAATACATGGTAAACGAAGTAACACACAAATAAAATGTAAAGATCTATATGTTAGGTATTTACACAGTATCTACAAGGTATTTGTGCGAGTACTAAACAAACATGACCCTATCAAAACCAGGCAGGCCTGAAAACAAGCTTTACACGTCTCTCGAAGACGAACACAAAAGGGCAGGACCAGTGTCGAAGGAATTCCTCCTCACCCAGAAAGACAGTTTCTCTGACAAAAAAAAAAAAAGGCAGATCTCACGTACAGTGAGGTATGCGAAGCACGAATAAGAAAGGTTGAGGTGTCACTTTAAAATCAGCACAACGTTATGAGGTGGAGGTAAATATGCCGTACATGACTTCCGTGTCATCATTATCATGTTTGGATGTGTCGTTTACCTTCGTCATCTATTCACGTCACTTGATACCAAATTTAATATATGTGGAGCTACTGAAACGGCCGCGAGTACGCTATTAGCGTGATATGTTGTCATGTTCTTACATGACACGCGTGCAAGGATTATCATGTTTACATCAGTCATATATTTCGTCATCCATTGACGTCACGTAACACCAAATTTCGTATATGTGGAGCTAGCAGAACGGCCGCGAGGGCATCATAAAGGGCCCAATATACTCCAACGTGACGTGACGTTGGCGCGCGCGCACGCTGGACACAGCGACGCTACGTTAGTAAAACGCGAGCACTCTATAGTCTGACGCCAGGTGCTACGATGGTGGTGGTAAAAAACATTTATTTCAGAAAAAGTTTACTAGAGAGTGCCGACGTGGCCCATCGGCGTGCTAGAGTGGCAAGACCCTATTCCGGGACGCCAGTGGAGCTGGAAGCTGCCCGTGCGCGCTTCACCAAGGAGCGTTGTGCAGCCAAGGTAGAGCAGCCGAGCAGGTGCTCCTCCCAAGCCTCTCTAGTTGGGATAGGAAAAGGGGATGAGAAAGGGACGGGATTAACTGGGCACGATGCTACGACGTGATATGTGTCGGCGAGCACATGACAGGTCGAGCAGGTGCCATTGATTTCCGGCAAAAAGTGCCTGGCGACCGCCGGACTGATAAAAGTGTTCGTCTGCAGGCGGCGTAGCAGTCGTTCGTCCGCTTTCTCCAAACCGCGTGCGGGGTCCGGGTAGAGGCGGCGCGAAGCCCGGTAATAAGCCAAAATTTCGCGAAAGCGCGTCAGGTTGGTATTGCCAGATTCCGTCTCGGGACATGGAGGGGCAACGGCCCGGACAGAAGAAGCGCGGGCAGCGGCATTTGCCGCCTCGTTGCCGGGCAGGCCCGAGTGGCCTGGGGTCCACACTATACGAATGGGATGAGGGTTAAAGCGCCAAGAGGCTGCCTGTAGTAGGCTAGCCGCCAGCGGAGCAATGGAACCCTGAAGGTACTGAGAACAGGCCGAGCGCGAGTCCGTCAGGATGGTGCGTGAGGCAGGGTGAGAGGCGGCCAAAGCAATGGCAACCTCTTCAGCGTGCGTTACTGTGTCTGCTCGAAAGGAGAGGCCATCTACGTGTTTGCCCTCTGTAATCACGGCAGCCGTGAAGTGACCCGAGGGGGAGGGACCCGAGACGTCCACGTAGAAAACACCAGGACGATCGGAGTGTCGCGTATGAAGGGCCGTAGCGCGTGCTAGCCTACGGCCAGGATGGAGGTCAGGGTTCATATTACGGGGTAGAGGTTCCACCCATAGCTTTTGACGCCAGAGCTCTGGTATCGGCTGCAGAGGGTCTTGGTCAGATATCGGGTTAAGGCCAAGTCTGTGTAGAAGACGGCGCCCTGAAGGCGTCTGCGACAGTCGATTGATTTGGTTAACGCGATGAGCTTCGCGCATCTCTGCAAAGGTGTTGTGTACCCCCAGAGCCGTGAATCGGCTGTTGGAAGTTGCAATAGGTAGGTCCAGAGCGCGTTTGTATACTGAACGAAGAAGGACGTCCAGCTGGTGCTCGTGTCGACGACGCAGGCGAAGGTAAGGCAAGGCGTAGAGGACGCGACTGGTCACAAACGCGTGGGCCAATCGGAGGGACTGAGACCCGCGGAGGCCGCCCCGCTTGGTAGAAACTCGCCGTATCATGCGGCTCACCTGGTCGCTGGTGCGTCTGAGGCCTGATATTGTGCCCTTTGGATCCAAGGACGATGTGAGGTGAAGGCCAAGAACCCGAATATTTTGCACTGACGGGACGGGCCCGGACGGAAGAAAGGTTTGAGGCGGCGGTAGCGGAGAGACTGAAAGAAGAGCCGATTTAGCTGGAGAGCACTCCAGGCCGCATGAACCTGCGTAGGTGTCCACCAGAAGGGCAGCCTTTTGCAGGCGTTCTTCGATTTGCGCTAAGGAGCCGGTGTTGGTCCAAATTGTGATATCGTCCGCATATAGTGCGTGTTGTATTCCCTCGACCTCGCTTAGAAGAGAGGGGAGGTTCATCATCGCCAGGTTAAAAAGCAGAGGAGACAGGACTGCCCCTTGAGGTGTACCCCGCGTGCCTAATAAGTACGGGCCGTGTTCGGTAGAATTAAGGCGAATGAAGGCGGTGCGATGTGATAGAAAGGCGCGAATGTAGTTGAAAGTCTTCTGCCCGCAGTTTGTGGTAGACAGGTTAGTGAGTATAGTGCTGTGTTTGACGTTGTCGAACGCCCCGCGGAGATCGAGAGCGAGCACGGCTTTATCGTTATGGCGC